GTATATATTCACACAGAGAAGAAATATAGCCTAGTATGTTAGTCAGCTTTCTACTGCTGTAGCAAATACCTAAGATAATCAGCATTAAAAGAGAAAGTTTACTTGGGCTCATAGCTTTGGAAGTTTAGGTCCATGATTGGTCACCCTGTTGGTTTAAGGTGTCTAGCAAGGGAGCATAGCATGCCAACAGCACATAGCAAAGCCATTCACCTCATGACCAGGATACAAAAGAAAGAAAGGAGTGGGGAGACCAAGGTCCACCATGTCCTTCAAGGGCACACTCCCAATGACTTAAGATGTCCCACTAGGTTCTACCTCTTAAAGGTCTCCAACACCTGTCAATAGTGCTATGGGCTGAGTACCAGGCCTTTAAAACTTGAGCCTTAAGAGGCATTCCTGATCTACAAAGTAGAGTAAACAAAGCTCAGCTTTGGAGTTTCACTGATGTGGAATTGAATATAATCGAGCAACATACTCATTGCATAGTAATGCAATAAGCAATTGTAAATACTCTTGAAACAAATGAAAAACATAGAATGTCTAAGAAAAATAAATTATAAAATATAAAGAAAAACTAAATGGAAACTGTAGAAATGAGTAATATGGAAACCAAAATGAAAAGATAAGAGGACAACGAAGAGAAACAGTGAACTTGAAGATGGAATTCGAGAAATTACCCAGTCTGAAGAACATATAGTATTTTTGCAATTGATTTGTTTAATTCAGGATGCAATGAAAGTTCACATATTGTACTTGGTTATTATATGTCTTAAGTATTTTTTAATATCTACCTTCTCCCTTTTTTCTTGACAGTTTATGAAGAAACTAGGCTGTTTGTCCTGTAGCGTTTTCCACACTATGCATTTTGTTGATTGCACCTGCATGATGTTTTAATATGTTCCTCTCTCTTTTTCATTACCTATAAATTGGTAGGTAGGACTATAGTCTTGGTATATTGAAGCTCGAATTTTTAGGTAAGACAGCTTTGTAGGTGGTATTTTGTGCTTCTGTTATATCACATCTGGAGGCATAGGGTGTCTCATTATTGCTGTTGGGAGGGTATGGGGATCAAACCCAGGGACTTGCAACTTGCTAAGCAAGAGGTCTACTATTGAACTATACCCCATTACATGGTTGTTCTTTTTTTGCCACATTAAGACTTATCAGGTATTGTTAGCCTGTTTCAGCTATCATAAAATTCCTCATTTGCTGTTCTAATAATTTTAGCAACCACCAGTGGTCATTGCCCTGATCTATTATTTCATTAGATGATGTCAAATCCTGGTCTTCTAATTCTTCCCTCCAAAGTTGTAAACTAATTCTTCCATGTTTTTCTTGTACTTTACATTTAGATCTCTGATCCATCTGGAATTATAGTCATACAATGAGACACAGATCCAAGTTTTTTTTCCAGATGGTTACTTGGTTATCTTAACATCATTTAATTAATAATCTATCTTTATGGTACATTGAATTCCCAATAACAGAAACCTTTATATATATTTTTACGGCACTTCATAGTTGACTTGTGTTATTTCTACAACAATAACTGTATATGCGCCTTTGTTACTTTCTCATCTCTAAGACAAAATTCCCTGACACCCACAAGTTAAAGGGGGGAGATTCATTTTGGCTCACAGTTTGTAGAGGTTTCAGTCCATAGTCAGCTGACCCCAAGGCAAGGCAGCATGGCAGAGGGGCATGGCAGCAAAGAAACAGCTCATGGCAAATCAGGCAGGAAGCAGAGAGGGATTAAGGGATGAGGAGGGAGATAGACCTTTCCAGGCCATGCCCGCAAGAGCCCACCTCTTCCCAGTGGCCTTCACCTCCCAACATCATACCCAGCTACAGATTCATCAGTAGACTAATCCAATGACAAGCATCACACACCCATGCTCCAGTCACCTCCCAAAGCCCCAGCTATGAGTGTTTGAGGCCTTGCGGAGACATCCAGATAGAAACTATAACATTATGTACCCTTTAATAATAAACACACATCTTTCTTGTTTCTTCATTAGCTCCTGAAACGTACTGTGCTTTCAATAGTTAAATCTTTGTCTTTAATTTCAGCTGTGTTGAATGAAGGCTGTGAAAGGCATTTTATGGAAGCTTAGCTGAAACTAAGAAATTCTTTTCTAGATATTTGGCCTTTAGGGTTGACCAGTATAGTTTTACAAGGATTCTTAGTAAATAATAGCAGTTTCCAAATGAAGAAGCCCTATCAAAAACAGGCATATCTATTATAACCCTGAAAGAAAAGATGGTTGCCAGGGGTTTTACTTATAATTTATGTGGTCCTTGTAAAGGTAAAAGATCCCAATAATGAATATAACTGTACTGTATACCTAAAATGTACCAATAAACTCAATGAGGAAAAAAACCAATTTATGTGGTCCTCTCTTTAAAATTCCAGAGGACCAGACTGGGACACGGAATTGTATGAAGAAGGAAGTGCTACGGTCAGAGAGCTTCTTACTGAACTATATGGCAAAGTTGGAGAAATTCGTCACTGGGGCCTGATCCGTTATATCTCTGGGATCTTAAGAAAGAAGGTGGAAGCACTCGATGAGGTAGTATAAATTTCCTTTACCAGATCTAAATGGAGGTGCTTTCAAAAATTACTTTCAAGATTGGGAATATGTTTCAGTGGTACAGCACTTGACCACCATGTATGAGGCCCTGGGTTTTTTCCCCAGCACCCATAACAATTTGGTTTTCATAACTGTTTTTAAGGCAAATATAGCCTGTAATCATTTCATATGTTGTCTTTCACACATAAAGTTTCTGATGTTTATTTATTCATGAATGACAAGTATGAAACTTGTCTGAACCATAGAAACTGTCAATTTTAGAAGTGTTATAAACTAAAAATTCTACCTTTTTTTTTTTGTATTGGGGATCAAACTCAGGACCTTGTGTTTGCAAGGCGGGTGTGGCATCACTGAGATAAATCCCTGGCGCAAGAATTCTAGATCTTAAGGAAAAATGTGGAAAAAATGGAAACAAAGTCTTTGTAAATAGGGAAAGGTGAAGAGGGTAAAGGGAGGGCAGGGGTAAGGGGTATGGAGAAAAATAGGAACCAAGACATCGTGTAAAAGTACAAGATCCCAATAATAAATGTAACTGTATTATTTGCTTTAAATGTACTAATAAACTTAATGGGGAAAAAAAGAATGAATTTACATGGGACTAAAAGTTCCTACCTCTTAGGAGATGAAAAGACCTCATCATTCATTCCCAGAAATCGCACATTTCTGATCTTCACGGTATTCCTGAGGAAAAGTTTGATGTGTTTTTAAGTTAAAAAAGATCAATGTTTCTAGGCTATGAGGGGAAATATTTGTGGGAATCTGAGGTTTTATGGAAACAGTCATGTTATGTTGTCTCTCCGTAGGCCTGCACAGACCTGCTCTCCTATCAGAAACATTTGACAGTAGGGCTCCCTCCAGAACCTCGAGAAAAGACGATCTCTGCGTAAGTGTGTTGTTTGGTTAGGTCTAATAAGGCCTCTATGAGCCTTTAAGGAGCGGTGTGACTTTACCACAATTCCCTTCCCCTAATTTGTCAATGGATAACAATGCCCTACATGCACGCTTCTATGAGATACTCGGCAGCAGAGTGTTGGCAAATGACAGGCCACAAGTAAATGAAAGAGAGAAACTCACAGGGAGTAGTGCTCAGGATTTTTTATGGGTTGGTTTTCTTTAAACCTCTCATTCAAAAAACCACAATAAAATACACAGGGCACCAGCAATTAGCACCAAATGTAAACCATACTCTGAAAGATGAGGTGGAAGAAAGTGTCTGGCTGGAGCACAGGGCTGATGAAACAACTCCCTGATGCTCAAGAGGGAATAAAAGAGGCAGAGGCCAAAGTAGAGGGAAAAAATGGGTGCTTCCACAAAAGGAATCATCAACAGAGTGAAAAAAACAACCCACAGAGTGGGGAAAATTTCTAGCCAGTGGTTCCTCAGGCAAAGGATATAATATCCGAAACATATAAAGAATTGAAAAAAATTAGACCCCCCCAAGTTTAAAGACCCAGTTCAAAAATGGGCATCTGAGATGAACAGGCACTTCTCAGATGAAGAAGTACATCCGGCAAATAAATATATGAAAAATGTTCCACATCACTGGTCATTCAAGAAATGCAGATGAAAACAATACTGAGATTCCACCAGAGAGAGTGACCACTATCAAGATATCAACCAGCACAAAAGCTAGCAGGGTTGTGGGGAGAAACAAACCCTTCTCCATTGTTGGTGGGAGTGCAGACTGGTGCAACCACTGTGGAAATCAGCATAGAGATTCCTCAAAAAACTAGGATTAGAAGTCCCATTTGACCTAGCTATTCCCCTGCTGAAAAAGAATTAAAGAATCTTTCCAAAAGAATTAAAGAATCATACCACAGTGATATATGCATACCCATGTTTATAGTGGCACAGTTTGTAATAGTTAAATCTTGGAAACAACCCAAACCCATCAACTGAGGAATGGATAAAAAAGATATTTTTATATAATGGAGTACTACTCAGCCATAAAGAAGAATAAGCTTCAGACATTTCTGAATGGATGCACCTTGCAACCATATTCTTAAGTGAAATAAATCAAACACACATGTGTAAATATCACATTGTCTCACTATCTGGTGTAAGAAACTAAAAGTGTAAACAAGGACAAAAAAGTACAATAGATATTGTGAAATAGGAAGAAATTGTCCAAAATTATGCTGAATGTAAAATGCTTTGTTAATACTTAAAATGTTTTATGCAAAAAAAGTATAGTATTATTAGGAAATGAATTGAGAGATAGAATAGCAAATGAAAATATAATATTTTAGATCATGATACACAGTGTATTTACCATTGTTCTCTAATCATTTTTGTTATGAAAAATTATTTTTTCATAGAATGGCTTTTATATTTGCTTTATTAATATTTACCTGTATTACATTAAAATAAAAAAATTTAAATTAAAAATAATAATAATATGAAATAGAGATCATGTTTCTCTTTCACACCAAATAAAAGGTTTCTAAACTTTAAAAAAGAAAAATGGGTGCTTGCAGATCGTAGTGAGGTAGCAAGAACACTGGTATAAGACTGTCACTTTCTCAGTCTCTCACAGCTTCTGACTGTCCCCTAGGATAAGCTGGGGTCAGAAGAGGTGGGCAGTGGAGTGATAGTCTAGAATGGAAAGTTTAATAATTCTTCCATGAGCCTTCCCTTTGCCTCTAGCCATGCTCTTAAAACTCATCTGCACTAAGTCTGTTTAATTTTATGTCATGCTAGTGCCAATATTAAATCTGAAAACAGGTTGTATTTACAAGAAATATTTTAGAAGGATTCTAACTTCACTCCTAAGTGATATGAAAAATCTGTTTCTCTACGAGGGAGGAATTTTTTTAAAAAAAAGATATTACCCTTCCCCCACCTGCCAGTTCTACTTCTGTAGTCAGTGAAGTTTTTTGAAAAACAAAACATACTCTAGACGTAGGGCTTAGTCCAGGATAAATGACAGAGAGATGATTGGGAAGTAGGTGGGAGTGGTGGCACACATCTGTAATCTCAGGACTCTGGAGACTAAGGCAGGAGAATCACAAGTTCGAGCTCAGCCTGGGCAATTTGATAACTTCATTAGATCCTGACGCAAAATAAAAAGATGGTTGGGGATGTAGCTTAGTGTAGAGGCCCTAAGTTCAACACCCAGTAGCTCACAAAAGAAAGAGGGGGAGGAACAAAAGGATAAAAAAAGAAAAAGAAGAATCAGAGATACTGTGATTTCTGTTGATGATGAGATCCAATTTAAATTCCTATGAAGGCTTGGAGAGATGCCCTGGGACCATGTGTCATCGGTTCTATTTGTCAAGTCGCAATTGTGCCTTAGGAAAATTGTGTCAATCTTGTATGTTAGTTTCCTTGTGCTGCTATAACAAAATACCACAGACTAGGTGGTCTAAACAGCAGAATTTTATTCTTTCCCAGTTGTGGAAACTAGAAGTTGAAATTAGGATATCAGCAGGGTGGGTCCCTCTTTAAGGCAGTGAAAGACTTTCATACTTCTCTTCTTAGTTTATAGATTGCTGTCTTCCCTCTGTGTCTCTTCATATTTCTTCTCTGTATGCATGACTAAGTGTCCATAATCCCCTTTTTATTAAAACACCAATCATATTGGATTAGGGCTCACCCTAATGACTTCACTTTAAACTAATCACATTCAAAGACCACATCTCCAAATAAAGTCACATGATAAGATTCTAGGGGGCTGCAGTTTCAACACACGAATGTTTTTGGTGAGGGGACAGAATTCAACCACAAACACCTTGATCCTTGGCAAATAGAACCTATCATCACAAATAAGATCAGTTTTTTTTTTGTTTTTTACTCATTGAGTTTATTGGTACATTTTAGGTATACAGTACAGTTACATTCATCATTGGGATTTTGTACCTTTACATGACAGGTCTTGGTTCTCATTTTTCCCCTTGTCCCTGCCCTCCCTTCAACCCCTCCTCCCCTCCCCCTTTACAAACACTTCATTTCCATTTTTTCATTTTCTCATATTTTCCCCTTATTAGCTTACCCCTATCCTTCCCACTTTCCCTACACCATTAGCCCCTTTATTCCTATTTCACATGGTCAATTATACCATTAGGATCTTATGTACCATTATAGCTTTTCACACCAGAGAAACTATTTGGTATTTAAACATGTGTGACTTATTTATTTCCCTTAGGAGTATATCCTCAATATGTATCCATTTTCCTATGAATAAATCTAATTTCTCATTCTTTATGGTTGAGTAGTAATCCATTTTATAGAAAAACCACATCTTCTTTATCCAGTCTCCAACTGATGGGCACTTGGGTTGTTTCCAAGTTTTAGCTATTACAAACTGTGCTGTTATAAACATAGGTGTGCATATATCTCTGTGATATGATTCCTTTAATTCTTTTGTAAATATACTCAGCAGAGGGATGGCTGGGTCAAATGGAACCTCTAGTCCAAGCTCTTTGATGTATCCCCATATTGATTTCCATAGTGGTTGCACCAGTCTGCACTCCCAAGAACAGTGGAGAAGGGTTCCTTTCTCCCCACAACCCCGCCAACATTTGTTATTGTGTGATTTCTTGATAGCAGCCATTCTTTGTGGGGTGAGGTGGAATCTCAGTGTTGTTTTCATCTGCATCTCTCGAATGACCAGTGATGTGGAACATTTTTTCATATATTTTCTTGCTGCTTTCACTTCTTTGTATGAGAAATGTCTGTTCATTTCGGATGCCCATTTTTGGATCGGGTCTTTATATTTGGGGGGACTGATTGTTTTGAGTTCTTTATATATCCTTGATAATAGTCCTTTGTCTGAGGTACAGCTGGTAAAAATTTTTTCCCACATTGTAGATTGTCTCTTAGTTCTGCTAATGGTTTCTTTTGAAGTACAGAAGCTTTTTAGTAAGATGAGATCCCAGTTGTTGATTCTTTCTGCTAGTTCCCGTGCTACTGAGGATTTGTTCATAAAGTCTTTTCCTATACCAATGTCTTCCAGAGTTCTGCCTAACTTACTTTCCAGCAAGTTTAATGTTTCTGTTTTAATATTTAGATCTTTAATCCATTTGGATTTTAATTTAGTGCATGGCGAAAGATAAGGGTCTAATTTTAATCTGTGACAGGTTGATATCCAGTTTTTCCAACACCATTTATTAAAGAGGCTATCTTTCCTCCACTGAGGATGGTGAGCTCCTTTGTCGAAGATGAGGTAGCTGAGTACATCTGCATTTGTTTTTGTGTCTTCCAGTCTGTTCCATTGATCCTCAGGCCTATTTCTTTGCCAGTACCATGCTGATTTTATCACAGTGGCTTTGTAGTATAGTTTCAAATTGGGAATTGTTACACCTGGTGCCATGTGACTGTTGCCTATAATGGCTTTTGCTATTCTAGGTCTCTTGTGGTTCCAAATGAATTTTTGGATTCTTTTTTCTAGTTCTGTGAAATATAGTGTTGAAATGTCAGTCAGCATTGCATTGAATCTATATAGCAGTTTTGGTAGTATGGCCATTTTCACTATGTTGATTCTTCCTACCCAGGAGCAGGGGATATCTTTCCATCTTCTTATATCCTCTTCCATCTCTTTTTTCAGAGTGCTATAGTTTTCAGTGTAGAGGTCTTTTGCTTCTTTTGTTAGATTGATTCCTAGATACTTCATTTTTTGGATGCTATTGTGAAAGTAATTGTTTCCCTAATTTCTCTCTCAGTGAATCTGTTATTTGTGTACCAGAAGGCTATTGATTTTTGGGTGTGCACCTTGTATCCGGCTACTCTACTGAATCTGTCAATTAAGTCTAGAAGTCTTTTGGTGGAGTTTTTTGGGGTCTTCAATGTAGGGTATCATATCATCAGTAAATATTGAAAGTTTCACTTCTTCCTTTCCCATCTTTATTGCTTTAATTTCCTTCTCTTGTCTAATTGCTGTGGCTAATGTTTCCAGAACTATATAGAAGAGGAGTGGTGATAGTGGGCATCCTTGTCTTGTTCCTGATTTTAATGTGAAGTTTTTCAGTTTTTGGCCATTTAATATGATGTTTGCTGTTGGTTTTTCATAGATAGCCTTTATTAAGTTGAGATATAGACCATCTATTCTAATTTTTGCAGGGTTTTTATCATGAATGGGTGTTGAATTTTGTCAAATGCTTTTTCTGCATCTATTGAGAGGATCATATGGTTTTTGTCCTTGACTCTGTTAATATATTGTATTACATATATTGACTTATGTATGTTTTACCATCCTTGCATTCCTGGAATAAATCCAGCTTGGTCAGGATGTATGATCTTCTTGATGATCTTCTGTATTCTAATCACTAATAAGATCAGTTTTATGATACTGCAAGGGAGCCAAAGAAGATCACATGACCCATGCCATCAAAGCACTTCATAAATGAATGGTAGAATCAGAAAGATGGGTGGATTTACACATACCTTTGTGTGTGTGCATGCGTGTGTGTGTGCATGTATGTATAAGAGAGAGAAGGAGAGAAAGAATGTGTAAACTGATGAAACTATAGAAAATCAGTATAACTTTGTAAGATGTGACTAAATAAAATGATTTTCAAAAGAAACGGCTTAACATTAGTTTATTTCTTTGTAGTCATACTTATCTATCAAATGTTAAGGATAACTATTAAAGGTTAGTCTGGAAGGACATTAGAGGGTGAGCTTTAAATTTTTAAAGATGAAGGAAGAGTGCAATCTAGGGGTAGTAAAGACAAGGCTGAGCTCTTGGGATTGATGTGGATCAGAATGCTACTGGTACTTATGAGAAATTGAGGCAATAACTCAGACTTGAGAAGAGCTTTCTAAATATATATATATATATATATATCTATA